GTACGCATACAGGCCATGTCTAACATAGAACGGTCTACTGAACTACGTTTCGACATGAAAGGTATGGGCACATACCAGACCAAGCTCAACATGGAAAGGCGCAAGCCATAGGCGGAGGTGATGCAGTGAATGCATGCAAGCTACAATGCAATATCTACAAATATGCAATGGAATGGGAATGCAATATAATGGATATGGCCTGCGGGCCAAACCAAATCTTGCCTAGGAAAAGGCATGTACACATGCAAGCCGTGTCTAACATAGAACGGTCTACTGAACTATGTTTTGACGTGAAAAGTATGGGCACATACCAGACCAAGCTTAATCATGGAAAGGCGCGAGCCATAGATGGAAGGTGATGCAGTGAATGCATGCAAGCTACAATGCGATGTACACTATATTACAATGATGCATGACAATGCAACTATTTACGATGATACATGACAGTGCGATTGTTTGTTTTTGTTGTTTTTGAAATGCAAATGCATGATGATGCATGTTGCATGGAATGTGCGACAACACGCGGCTTTTAAGATACATGACAATGTAAATGGACTGTGCACATCAATGCACTAAAGGTCTTGCACCTCCCGAGGATTTAAGGTCTCCTAGACCATACAAAATTCTTGATATGGCTCACTCGGAGTATATCGTACCTGTCCGGTTCGTCGGGTTGCACCAACCTTAAATGAACCGTACATACAATATCGTGTCTGCAAAGAAAACAAACTTAACAGGTACAGTGTGATTAACAACATGCATATTAATGTACTTGAAAATGCGTGACAACGCAAAGCAAGCGGGAAGCATAACAATACTGTGAAGGCACAGACACGTAAGTGGAGCACGTGGTCTACGCAGGCAACGAAATCGATCATAAGCATGTGGTCTACGCAAGCAATGAAATTCATTATAAACATGCGGTCTGCGCAGGGAAACACGCGGTCTACACAAGCAAAACATGCGGTCTACGCAAGTAATGGAATTGATTATAAACATGCGGTCTACGCAAGCAAAATATGCGGTCTACGCAAGTAATGAAATTGATTATAAACATGCGGTCTACGCAAGCAAAACATGCGGTCTACGCAGGGAAAGCATGCGGTCTACGCAAACAAAACATGCGGTCTACGCAAGTAATGGAGTTGATTATAAACATGCGGTCTACGCAAGCAAAATATGCGGTCTACGCAAGTAAAACATGCGGTCGACGCAAGCAAAACATGCGGTCGACGCAAGCAAAACATGTGGTCTACGCAAGTAATGGAGTTGATTATAAACATGCGGTCTACGTAAGCAAAATATGCGGTCTACGCACGTAAAACATGCGGTCTACGCAAGCAAAACATGCGGTCTACGCAAGTAGCATGATTGAATGCATGCAAAATGCAATGAGCTGCGCAAAATAGCTCGATGCGTTTAGATAACGTGAGTGCACAAGATAGTGCGATTGACATGTGATGCACATGGGGCAACTTTTGAGTTTTGTAAAAGCCAAAAGGATACGGAAAGGATACACCTTGCACGAATTTGAGTGCCACGCACAGAAGACACAACCCGAGGTCAAAACGGAGGCCAGTTGAGCGTCGAAAATGCACTGTTTTGCATTGTTTTGAGCACTAAAGGCCCTGGACCCCACACATAACTCAAAAAAGGGTGTAGGAGGCTTCAAAATCACTGTAGGAGACCACCGGATGTCCACCGGCCATCAAAATGCATCACCGGCCGTCCATCGGCCATCGTACAATTTCCATCGGCAAACTATTTTGCCGACCGGCAAAGAGTGTGGCCGACCGGCAAAAAGTCCCTGTATCAGGGCAGTTTCGGCATTTCGCTACGGGTCTTTTAAAATAGGGCTTCTAGCTCTATTTTCTTCACTTTTCCTTGCCCGAAATTTCTCCCTCTCTCTCTCTAGATTATTTTCCTCCTTTGATTTCCTCATTTTCTTGCGTTCTAGCCTCCATTTCGTCGTTCGATTCGCGTTCACCCTTGCGTTTCGAACGTTTTGAACCGATTGAAATTTCATTTCGGTGTTATTTTTTTCGATTTCCGCCACTCGGGGCTTGTTTCCCTCGAGTTTTTCTCGATATCTGTGCCTTTTCCGTACTCCGACTTTTCCGGCCTTTTTCGGCCCTCTCGGGTTTGACTTTTTGTTGACTTTTCACATTCTCGCCCGGTTTTTCATCTTCCGGCAATTTTCATATCCTGTTCGAGATGGCGGACGATCTTCCACAGGGCGGGACCCCTCCAGAGCTCGAGATGGATCCCGAGGCTGACCCCTTGCCACTTCATATCCGACCGTTCGATCCGGAGACCTACAGGCCTGCGGTTCATGTGATGCTCCTCGATGGACTACGCCAGTTCCGGAGCTTCAAAATGACCTAATTACATTGTTTAATTAATTGAGATAATTAATTGTGGGAAATGAGGAAATGAAATGGAATTGTGGCACCCGAGCTTCTCCTGCGTGAGCCCACCTCCCATCTGTCCTTCGGCGCTTCCGAGGTAACATTCTTTCTTCTGTTTTATTATTTCCCGCAATGTAGAACATAACTATCATTAGTTGATTCTGTTCTCTAACTGCTTAGCTCGGATTCACCGATACACTGTACACTGTACCTGATTGCGTACAAACTTACAACCGATATCTGTTTGAAACTTACACGTGCACACACACTGCACTGACCCTGAATCACCCAAACACACGGCGCACACTGTATTTCATTGCATACACACTGGTACCCGGTATCTGCTTGAGTCTGAAAACATGTACACATGCTGTATTTGCCCTGAACCACTCAAACACGCTGACACATCACACGTTGTAGTTCACTATAAGTACACCGGCAACCGATGTCTGTTCGAATTTGAAAACATGCGCACATGCTGTATACCTGTATGCTTCTTAAAACTGCGTTTTGAATATTACCTCGCAATTGTTTTTTGATTACAGGGGGATTCCCATACCATCCGCGGGTATGGGAATATCGTCGCTCAGGATTGGTACCTAGAGCTTCCAGACGCTGTTCGTCGTATCGTCGACGAGGCCGGTTTTGGCATCTTCTGCAGGGGGCTCTCCCGGCTCACGACCTGCAGGCCCTTGCTCGCCGCTTTAGTGGAGAGGTGGTGGGATACCACTAACTCCTTCCACTTCTCCGTTGCGGGGGACATGACGATGACCCCTTATGATTTCTCGATGCTCACCGGCATCGGGGTAGGGGGTGATCCGATCCCCTTCAACACCGATACGAGTGAGTGGGATGCCGCCCAGCTGTACCTGCTCGGCACTCAGCCTCCCCTCGCTCGAGCGGGGTTTGTCAGGTACTCTTGGTTTGAGAGCCACTTCCGGATCTAGCCAGCTTTGGCGGAGGAGACGCAGATGACCCTAGAGGAGGTGGATCAGTATGCGCGGGGCTTCATCATGTTCCTCTTCGGGACGACTCTCTTCGCCGACCGGGCGAACACCGTGCCTCTATGCTTGTTGAGCGCACTGGTGGATGTCAGGCGGATCAGCCATTATGACTGGGGTGGCGCCGGCTTGGCCACTTTGTACGGTTACATGAGCTCTTCTTCCCGCCTCAGCGGACAGCTTCTCGGCGGCTGCTGGCGAGCTTGGGAGGTACATCTTCTTCCCATTTTACATTTTTGCTTGACGTTTTCTGTGTTCTGTATACTGCACACACCACGGTCTGCCTCTCACTGATTATATACTGCACACGCGGCACACATATAGTCTGCTTTACTTTGACTGTATACTGCACACACTGTATACTCTGTACAATACACTGCATAACACACGGCTCTGCCATTTCTGCTTTCTTCTGTATTTTGCTTCATCTAATAGTCATATTTATATCTGTTCTGCAGTTGTGGGTGTATGCCTATTTTCCCAGGCTTGCCCCAGTACCTGATATGGAGACCCCACTCGGTGTCCCCTTTTCTCATCGCTTTGACGTGCGATGCGTGCGGAGACCGCAAGAGTCTTTTATTTTCTTCCGCTGCTACTACGACACCATCACCGCCGCGGGGGTATGTTCAACTTTAGAATTTGCTTAGGCTTCGCTTAGCACTGTATGTTTTCAATAACAGTAGATAACAAACTGCATTTCAATTTCAGATCACCTGGCAGCCCTGGGCTCCGTTGCCGGCCGTGGTGAGGGATCACTATGAGGGCGCAGGGGAGACTGCCCGTTACCGGATTCTGTTGGAGGGCCCGGTCTGTCGAGCTTGGTACCTGGGCGAGCGTTTCTTGCGTCAGACCCTGGGTTTACCGGAGCAAATAGTTCCGGGTCCGCCTCCCACACATATGAGGCATACAGAGGGGTTCTCTTTTGAGCACATGAGGGACTACACCGTCGGCTGGGGTGCTGAGCATCACAGAGGCGAGGGCGACTACGCAGAGTACGTCTGGACCTACATTATGCGACCCTTGAGTGGCGATCGCCGAGTTGAGGGAGGGAGGCCAGTGGCACCGGCAGCTGGAGCGGGAGCGGGGGCTGGAGCAGGAGCGTCGAGGAGAGCTTGAGTTCGCGGCAGGGGTGGAGTTCAGAGAGGGCGGGGGACCAGCTGGCCTGCTCTGCCCACTTTACTGACATACAAAGGGCAGGATGGAGCGACCTACCAGATCCCCTTTGCTCCTCCTCCGACTGATCATGAGTTAGCCGGTATCCCCGACTTGCCTCCGGTATGTATTACTTCATTTTGCATCTGGAATTGGCATTTCATTTCAGTTTATTTGATATTTCGCGGAATACTGATACATCTTGTACGCTTGCAGGCGTCCTCCGAGTACACCCGGCAGTCCGTGGAGTTGAATGCCTCCATGATGGGGATGCTACAGCAGACCTTCGACCTCCTGGCCCTCTATAGTATTCCGGTATGTCCTTTTGACGACGGTCTCAAACCATTCATAAGCTGATTCACGTAATCTGTTGCACGACATAACACCTGACACACTGATCTGACAGCATCTGATACACTGCATACACTGCGTTTATACACTGTACTCTGCACTGATAAACTGCTCACGGCATTCATACACTGTACTCATACACCGCATTCTGCACTGATAAACTGCTCACCGTATTCTGATGTATTTGCCTTTTGTGCTTTTCAGCCTCCCTTCCAGATTCCTTCGGTGGGTGGTGCTCCGGCTGGGCCCTCTATTTCTGCTCGAGGAGGGCGTGGATAGGCTGTACGTCCCCGTACCAGGGGGGCGTGTTCATGTCGGGAGTAGCTCTTGGGCGCCGACCCCTGACGATGACGATGATGATGATGATGAGTCCGAGGCAGAGGCAGAGGCCGGGTCATCTGAGGAGGAGGCCGGGTCATCTGACTCAGGCTCAGATGGCGATGCTGATGACGATGCCCCTGGACCTTCGTCCAGGAAGAGGGTGAGGACAGATCCCTGGGCCCGAGACTACTGATGATGATCCAGATTGCTGCTTTTCTTCCTTTTTTGTACTCTTTTTTTTTTTCTTCTCTTTGCTGGTAGTTAGATTACCTTGTACTGCCACAGGCAGATTTTTGTTTTCAAAGCTATGTACTTGAAAAAGACAATGAAATGAACAAACTTTTGGCTTAAAAAGTGTTACGTCTTTCATATCTCATGTATTGCATCGCATCACATCATGTTACACCTCAATGTGAATGGAATTGACCTGTTGTCTGAAAATTGAATACTTGCATTGTAATAATCAGATAACGAACCAGTCAACAGCAAAAACAGACCATACCAACCATTGCACATTCTGAACATTCGGCTGATACTCTACTGGGGATTAATTTGCATACAACCCATAACACAGCGCTTGGCTCGTTTTGCACACAGCGGATCCTGAACAAGCAGCCCAAACCTGAAAGGACGGACCATGTAGGTCGAATCCACTAAAGTCGAAGCGCACTCAGATGCGATCTGAAACCCAGGAGCTTCAAAGAGGCCTAGTGTTTTCCTGCTCACACTTATCGGGGGTGGACCCTGCAGTTGCATGAAAAAAAAAAACGAATCACGTTTTTGCACAAATGTGGAGAATGACACAGCATTCTGAGCACAAAGCGATTAATCTTTGAATTTGAAGAAGGGTTTTCAACCGGGTATCAAGCCTACAACTGAACACAGCGGGAAGGACTCAAACAAAGGGGTACACGACCTAAACACAACGAGACACGCTCGGAAAAGACTCAAAACAAAAGTCGAGGTAAACAAAACAAAAGACATGACATGCAGACGCGTTAACGGAGACGGGGGACCTCAGATCACGAGGAGCCAGTTTCTCTAGGTATTGTTTCCCACCCTTTCTCATTTGTGATTCTCACATCACTCTGGCACTCAAGCTCGGTTTTTCTCTCAAAACCCTTTGGCTCGCTTTTTCTCTCAACTTACAGCTCTCTATTCTTTATTCTCTCCTTTTTTGTCCCTCCCCAAGGTGATTGATGAATGAATAGGAAGTTGCGGGTTCATGCCCAACGTCGTTAGCTCACAGCTATTTCTTCTGGCGAGTTGGGTGCCCTCCTGGCAAGTATATTGACGACGGGGGCAAGACAGAACGCCTGACTCCATTGTGCCCCTAGTTCATCATTTTGACCATTTTTTTGTTTTGGTTTCCTACTAAAACAATTTTGACCAATGTGAGAGTTAGATTAACACACTTGTTCGATTTTTGATCTGAAAACCATGCAAGTCAGGTTATGAGTACTGAAAATTTTCCTTTTTTGGGTCCCAGAAAATGGCCCAGTTTTGAAAAATGGAATAGTTTTCGAGAAAATAGTCAACATCAGTAAAAATTTTCAAAAACTACTTTGCAAACAGTCAATGCTCAACGAGCATGGAACTCATTCTTGAGATGCACAACCTCGGATCGGAGGCAATGGAAAATTGCCCCTTGTTTGAAGGACGCTGCACGGCAACGGAAAGCTGCCCCTAGTTTGAACGGCGACTCACGGCAATGGAAAGTTGCCCCTTGTCTGGATAACGCCGCAGC